TAAGACTACCGCCCGTATTCCAAAAGCGCACTCACACTCCACTCAATGAGTGGAAGTTTAATCTAATCTGAACTTCTCTCGAATGTCATTACTGTTTTTGAATAGCTGGAGAGTAAGTGTCGTACCTTACTATGCGACTACTCACCCCCCAGCTATTCAAAAACAGCATTCACACTTAAGAGAAGCTCCGATTGAACCTCCACTCATTGAGTGTGAGTGAGCTTTTAGAATACGGGCGTACGTCATCCATACCTGTTTAACAATTTTTCCATACACCTTGGGATCAGATGGTGGAGGCAATCGTAAAACGGCATTGTAGTACAATACTTCCCAAACTGTCAGAGACCGATGCATTATGTCATCCTACATAAAGAGAATCAACTAACTTTATCGACAATTCTATACTGGGGGCTTCGGTGGCGCAGTCATCAGAGATCGTGGGTTCGATTTTCGGTTATAGAAGTACTCTTCCAACATCCAACTGTACATAGGCAAAGTTTGTCTTTGCTAAATCACTCTATGACTCGACTTTGACTCATTTTTCTTCTTGTCAACTAACCCTAACCAATTACCTGTGGTACAAATCCGGTAAGACTTTTATAATCTTGAATTCCTGAAACTTTTTTCCCGTTAATTTTTATTCGTCCACCAGCATCCTGAAAATGAAATAAACAAAAATTTATGATCGCATAAGATTATCGGCAAATCATGTCAACCATAATATGTCAAGTGAAGAAAAATTATTCCCAGAAAAAAATTAGGGAAAAAAAATCTTCCCAGGCATAGTGGCCTATAAATTTCACTTTAAAAAATGTTTCCAGCCATCAAGTGAGAAAAAATATATATTTCTTCTATAGATGCACAAACAAATATATTGCCTCACCCACCCCCAAGGGTGGGTAGTAGCGAAATGGTGTAGTTCGCTACTGTAGCAAACTACAATTTTCAAGTAGCCAGTAGTTTTTGACTACTTTTTTAAAACAGTAGCTGTAGTGATAGCGAACTACATTTTGCCTAAAAGTAGCCAAGTAGTTGACTACTTTTCAAACAGCGAATCACTATTCGCTACTTTTTAAAATTGTTATCAACTTGATATAGAATAACATGATATTGGAGCATGATATAGACACGGTTTGCTTAAAATCAATACTCAATTGTCCATTTGCATTCCTGAACACTCTAGTGCTTACAAAAATGTTGCTTTGTGTTTACTGTTGGTACTTGTAAGTCGATTTGTTACAGGTTACATTACAGCCTGAGTTAGTAGATGCTCCAAATACAGTAAAACTAAACAATATAGCGTAGCGAAATAGCGAAATAATTCGCTACATTTTTTAAGCAGTAGCTGTAGTCAGTAGCGAACTACCTTTGTTCAAAAGTAGCAGTAGTTGTAGCTGACAACATATTTTCGAAGTAGCTATAGTTATAGCGAACTATAAAAATTGTGTAGTCAACCCACGCTTGCCCCCCCCCCCTCCCCCTCCCCATCACTTTTCTAATGGTCCGTCCCTAATGAACGGCATCTATTGTGGTCGTATTTAAAGCTATTCAAAACACTTTATTATAGACTTTATACCTGATAAAACTCATCTTCACTCCTACGCGTGTTTTAAATAGTACATAAAACGTCCTGTGCTAGGTTCTCAAAAAACGTACAATACTTACACCATAGTATGCTTTACCACACAGAACATTCAAGAACGTTGTTTTACCCGCGCCTGAAGGACCCAGAACAGCGGTCACCTCGCCTGCATTGATCTCTCCCGTGACGCCTTGCAACAAAACTTTGCCTTTGTTTTCACCCTGAAGTTAGAAACATACTGTAGCGTCAGTAACCATTCCATTTCACGCATGAAGTCTGTTTTCCACTTCAACTGTATCAAACGACGATGAGAGTGCATGAGAGTTGACAGTCACGCGAGCTTGGTTAGCTGTTCTTAATGCTTTCCCAACACTAACACTATCACGAGAGTTGAGAAAACTCTCATGTAAACTCTCAACTCTCATTAACTCTCATGCAAACTCTCGTTTCTCAACTCTCATGCAAACTCTCGCTTCCCAACTCTCATCAACTCTCATGCAAACTCTCGCTTCCCAACTCTCATGCAAACTCTCCGCACTTCTCAACCCTCATCAACTCTCATGTAAACTGTCGCTTCTCTACTCTCATCAACTCTCATGCAAACTCTCGCTTCTCAACTCGCATGCAAACTCTCGCTTCTCAACTCTCATCAACTCTCATGCAAACTCTTGCTTCTCAACTCAACTCAACTCAACTCAACTCTCATCAACTCTCATGCAAACTCTCGCTTCTCAACTCTCATCAACTCTCATGCAAACTCTCAACTCTCATCAACTCTCATGCAAACTCTCGCTTCTCAGCTCAACTCAACTTAACTCTCATCAACTCTCATGCAAACTCTCGCTTCCCAACTCTCAATCACCTCATGCAAACTCTCGCTTCCCAACTCTCATCAACTCATGCAAACTCTCGCTTCTCAACTCGTTTGACCAGCACATAACTTACCGACGTCAAAGTGAGGCTCAATTTCTCAAAACTGATATTATAACTGTCTTTTCGTACAGACGTCTCGTCGTCTTCGGAATGGTTGCTAAGCCCAAGGCGACTGATGGCCAATCTGAAGCCGTCCTTCAAGTTATACCGCTGACTCAGTTTACGTGTCCCGCGGATACGGCGGAAATATAGATCAAAATAGAAATGAAAGCTTCGCCGGTTGTTGAAGTACAGTAGGACGAGAAAAAAGGCTCCCAGGAGACAGCTGTTTATGATGAGGCCTACGTAGAGCGTGTTCGGTGATACTTCGCCCTCACCGCACGAACTTATTGCCTGGTGAAGAAATTAGATGTATGTAAGTTTAAAGTCGGGAAAAACCCGAAAAAGCCTCGATGCTCAGTACGTCAAAGCCTGATGCTCAGTCAAAGCCTGATGAGGTAACGTACTTTCCGGAAGCGTGTATTGGCCTGGCACTTTTGGACAGGTAGATTGCTAATCCTGCAGGCTAGGTCCCTGGTGTGTAAAGAGAAGAAACAGAAGTCTCCTGGATGGCGCTTTGCCGCTAACTCAACTCTCATCAAGATACTTACCATACATTTTACAGGTTGCTGACTGCCCTGTCGACAGAAATGCCCTGCAGGACACCCCAGCCGTGTGGTCGTATTCGGACAGTAGTAACCTTCGAGACATCGCTCAGGGTAGAACTGTCCAGGACATGACAGAGAATTTGTGTAGCCATTAAATATTGGCGCTGTCCCGGCTGGAAGACAGCACTTTTCAAACCCACCACAGACGCTGCTGTTTTCTGCCTAATGGTTGAAAAACGTAATTTAAAATTGGACTAGTTTTTTATGCAGTTTTCAAATTAAAACCATACACAGCAGGGTGGAGTGGATGGGAGGGTGGGGGGGGGGGTGAAGGCACATATGGTGAATTCTTGTTGGAATGGTAGAGGGAGCCACCTGCACCACAGGGCCATTTGAACCCTTAAACAAAAAGACTAGGGCAATTGAACCGGAAACCTTTGAAAGGCCAGGGAGGAGGGTTAAAATTTCCAGGGAGGAAGGGCCAGGGAATATGCACTTCTGATCACGAGTAAACATATTCAGGGTTGTATCACTTCTGAAGGAGGTGGGGGAATTGAGTACCCCCTGAAGGGGGAGGGTAAACCCCATGAAAAGGTGGGGGAAGGGTGCACCTTCTGAAGGTGGGGTACTAGGGTGAACCCCATGAAGGAGGCAGTGGGGAAAGGTTGTACCCGCCAAAGGAAGTGGGGGAACGATGTACCACCTGAAGGAGATAGGGGAAGGGTGTACACCTTAACTAAGAAGTCTAGATTACTGAATTACATCTAGTTACTAACCAGAATATTTTGGACACAATAAGCACCCGTTGGACATGGTTTTAAACAAACTGAGTTTGCTTCGCAGAAATAACCTAATAAAGAAACATTGTCAAAATATAGCAGTGTTAGTCAAATGAAAAATCCACTTTAACCCTTTAAGTGGCAATGCACCCTGATGCGCCCTACTTTAGTATTTTACTCCGTCTAACGCCAGACGATTTTACTCGTCAAGAGGAGAGTGCTGCCACTCAATGGGTTAATAACCTAACTTACAATGTGTCAATATGCTACCAGATTTTGGTTTGCTCAAGAGCACGGTCATATATGAAGAAACTTTATTCAAATAAATACCAGTATTGGTACATTGAAAGCCTACATATACATTAGGCCAAATAAAAAAAAATACTTGGTTAGCGTCACACTCTCACAAATTTTCAGAGGCGGGCGGGGTTTTTTTAAAATTTTTACTCGTTTTTTAATTTTTTAATAGTATTTTTTTGGGGGGGATGGGGGCGGTTTTTCCACCATATCGGTGATATTTTTTGTACTGATGTTGCGAAGGCCGCCATTTTGCTATAAGAACCTTGTATACCCAAGACCACGCGCCCCTATCGATCAGACGGATCAGTATATAGCGCGAAGGTCTGAGCATGAGAAAAATTTCAAATATTAAACGTACTGTTTTAAACTGTAAAAAGAAGAGCGGATTTACATAAACTAAAAAATTAGGCGGCAGAAATCGAGGCGGCAAGAAAGAGGCGGCAGAAATCGAGAGGCGGGCGGTGACACTAAGTCTAACCAAGTTTTTTTTTTATTTGGCCTTAGTTACAAAAGTATATCAGACTAACTCAACTCATGCAATAATGAATAATGAATGTATCAAAAGTTCATATATCATATATGTACCAAAATCCTGTAATATGCTCATGAGAATGTTTATGGGCATACTACATGATTTTCATAAATAGAAATTTGGAAATGCCGTAAAGTCAGAAAAGTTATAAACTACATTAGTTTAGTGAAGTTGACCTATCTTTTGCCCGGTGACAACTTCCCGGTTATAAAACGTCGCACATACCTGAAGGGCATGGTAATATATCCACACCATTTGTGGAGTAATAGCCTTCCATACAAGCGCTTAAATTCCATGGTGTTGAACAAGGTTCGCGTTCGAAAACCACTTTTTCCACGGTGGTATTTCCACTGACCTGATCGTCACAAACGGGTATACCGGAACAACAATACCGGATATAATCCCTGTGGCAGCATTTTCCCGTAGGGATTGTCATGGTTGCTTTGAAAAGTGAAAATAGAACTATAAGATTTCGTATAAACTAAAAAACTAAACTAGGATATCGATTTCAAGGGTTAGGAAAAGTGTTTAAGTGTAAAAAGCAATTTCCCACTCAGTTATATAGTTAAAAAAGGCTATGCAAAATCCCGTAGGGAAGATTTATGACACTAAATTAGTAAATATCCCGAACTGAATAAAAAGCCGCATGATTATTGATTGACTCCAACTATAAACAACTAAAATCACAAGTAAAAACGCACAAGTTGTTGCAAGTCTGCAAACAAGTTGTTACAAATCTGTTCACAAGCTGTCGACAAGATGTGTTCGCACTGCTTGTTGCCAGTTGTTGGAACAAGTTTGGAACAAGCTGTTAACAACTTGTAACAAGCTTGATGGCATTTATATCAGACTTGTTACAACCTTGCAAAAAGTCTGATAATGTCAAGAACTTGTTACAAGCTGTTAACAACTTGTAATAAGCTTGATGATGGCTTTATCAGACTTGTTACAAGATTGTTCTAACAAGTCTGATACAGTCATGGTATATAGCAAGAATGTTACAAGATTGACGACACAAGGTTGTAACAATATTGTTATATCATGACTGTATCGGACTTGTTGGAACAACCTTGCAACAAGTCTGATAAAATCAACAAGCTTGTTACAAGCTGTTAACAACTTGTAATAAGCTTGATGGCATTATCAGACTTGTTACAAGATTGTTCTAACAAGTCTGATACAGTCATGATATAGCAAGAATGTTACAAGATTGACGACACAAGGTTGTAACAATATTGTAAAATCATGACTGTATCGGACTTGTTGGAACAACCTTGCAACAAGTGTGATAGCCTGCGAACAGGCTCTTTGAATTGAAAGACAGTTCAAAGAGAGCCTGTTCGCAGGCTACAAGTCTGATAATATCAACAAGCTTGTTACAAGCTGTTAACAACTTGTAATAAGCTTGATGGCATTATCAGACTTGTTACAAGATTGTTCTAACAAGTCTGATACAGTCATGATATAGCAAGAATGTTACAAGATTGACGACACAAGGTTGTAACAATATTGTAAAATCATGACTGTATCGGACTTGTTGGAACAACCTTGCAACAAGTGTGATAGCCTGCGAACAGGCTCTTTGAATTGAAAGACAGTTCAAAGAGAGCCTGTTCGCAGGCTACAAGTCTGATAATATCAACAAGCTTGTTACAAGCTGTTAACAACTTGTAATAAGCTTGATGGCATTATCAGACTTGTTACAAGATTGTTCTAACAAGTCTGATACAGTCATGATATAGCAAGAATGTTACAAGATTGACGACACAAGGTTGTAACAATATTGTAAAATCATGACTGTATCGGACTTGTTGGAACAACCTTGCAACAAGTGTGATAGCCTGCGAACAGGCTCTTTGAATTGAAAGACAGTTCAAAGAGAGCCTGTTCGCAGGCTACAAGTCTGATAATATCAACAAGCTTGTTACAAGCTGTTAACAACTTGTAATAAGCTTGATGGCATTATCAGACTTGTTACAAGATTGTTCTAACAAGTCTGATACAGTCATGATAAACAAGAATGTTACAAGGTTGACGACACAAGGTTGTAACAATATTGTAAAATCATGACTGTATCGGACTTGTTGGAACAACCTTGCAACAAGTCTGATAGCCTGCGAACAGGCTCTTTGAATTGAAAGACAGTTCAAAGAGAGCCTGTTCGCAGGCTACAAGTCTGATAATATCAACAAGGTTGTTACAAGTTGTTAACAGATTGTCCCAAACTCGTTGACAACTTTGGACAAGCAGTGCGAATACAACTTGTTGACGGCTTGTTGGCAGACTTGCTACAAGATGCGAGAATTTTGGCGTGTGTCAATTTGACACTAAATATCCCAAACTGAATAAAAAGCATGATCGACTCCGACTTTCAAAAACTCATTAATAATTCAGGAGCAAAACACAAAGAAAAATCATAAGCGTGTCGTGGTTTTATATGTGATAAAAAATCATGTTAATTAATTTACATAAACTTTAGCTTTGATTTTCTCGGTTTAGACAAAGTTTATTTTAAAAATTACTTCGCCAATGAACTCGTATAGGTCCGTATAAGATGAGTCGTTTTTGAAGCCATTTAAAGCACTTGTAAGGCGTGTTTTATCACATATAAAACACTCCGCTACGCGTCGTGTTTTATATGTGATAAAACACTCCTGCTCGTGCTTTAAACAGTACATAAACAACTACAGGGCATTATTATAAGCCTTCTTTGTCAATTTTAATGACAGCCTTTTAGCTTAACAAGCCCCGGTTTGGTAAAACATGGTCAAGAAACATCTGATTGCAGACAAGCAGAAAATTGCATCGGAACCGCTGTCACCGGATTAGCTTTTTTGTGTCTCTGCTCTTATAATAAAGTTTCTTTATATTCAAAATTAAATAGTGCAATTATCCATAGCCGCGGGGTAGAATTGCAAGTCATGATTCGTTGTGGGGTGATTTTCATTGAGTTCGGCGGAATTTACTCCGACGTCAGCAAGTCTGCCAACAAGCCGTCAACAAATTGTCCTTTTCGCATTGCTTGTCCCAAGTTGTCAATAAGTTTGGAACGAACTGTTAACAACTTGTAACAAGCTTGTTGATAATGTCAGACTTGTTGCAAGTGCAAGGTTGTTCCAACAAGTCCGATACAGTCATGATATAACACTAATATTGTCACAACCTTGTAACATTCTTGTTATATCATGACTGTATCAAACTTGTTAGAACAACCTTGTAACAAGTTTGATAATGCCGCGTCAAGCTTGTTACAAGTTGTTAACAGCTTGTTCCAAACTTGGTACAACAACTGGGAACAAGCAGTGCGAACATAACTTGTCGACAGCTTCTGAACAGATTTGTAACAACTTGTTTGCAGACCTGTAACAACTTGTGCGTTTTTACGTGTGTAATAAAAAAATTTAAAAACATTGGTAAAAATCTCACAACTTGTCAACAAATGTGTTCGCAACAGACTTTGTAGCAACCTTGTCAACAAGCTGTAACAATGCTGTTAGTATACTATTTACAACATGAGCGGCCGTGTTGTATCGGATATACAAACTCGAGCCGAAGGCGAGAGTTTGTATATCCGAAAAACACAGACGCGAATGTTGTAAATGGCTTAAAAAACGACTCATCTTATGAGTTCATTGGCGAAGTAATTTTAAAAATAAACGTTGTCTAAGCCGAGAAAATCAAAGTTAAAGTTTATGTAAATCAACATGAATCTGTATCACATATACAGATACGACACGCTTATGATTTTTCTTTGTGTTTTCTGCGTGAATTATTAATGAGTTTTTTAAATATATATATATATATATATATATATATATATATATATATATATATATATATATATATATATATATATATATATATATATATATATATATATATATATATATATATATATATGCTCAGAAACATTGCTTCGAACGATTGAGCCCATATGAGGTACTTCCTCGGGTAGAAGAATTTGCATTACAGATTACGTCATCAGTTAGTTATAGTGATTAGTGTTGGGGTTAGGGTCAGTGGCGTGCTGGCAGGGGGGGCCGGGGGGCCACGGCCCCCCCAGCTGGCAATTCTTGGGGAGCGCAAAAATGAAAAGGGGGCGCCGATCCCGCGTTTTGAAAGTGGGTGGGAAGAAACGCATTCGAAAAAATATAGTTACTAATTCCGCCAAGGAAAGATACTAAAGATGTGTTTATAGACTTATAAACA